GATAATTGTGTATTTCATTTGTAATTATTATGTAGTTCTTTCATAATCTATTCTAAATATTTCTGAAGAAAGTTTCATTAAAGTACACAAGTAATATTTACTATTGTCATAAGATAATGTCATTATCAAAATGATCATTAATTAATTTGTAAATAACTAACATCCGTTTAGTCCATTTCTCTTGTGAACAACAAATAATGAATTTTTCCTATAATTGTAATCAAAAATCTACGTCATCAATCGACATAATAAAAACCCTCGACCAGTTGTTGGAAGCATCAAATCAATCAATTAATTAATTATGAATTATTATTAGAGTATTAGCATTAGTGTTAAGATTTTTTTATCTTTATGTCTGTTACAATTCCACTGATCAAGAAAACACTTCTGTTCTGCTGAACGTTTGTTGAACGACCTCATATTATTCAGTATCAAAAATGTTTCTTTACACATATCGATCTCGACCGGATACATAATTCATTCTCATAGACATAATTTTTCACACTGCATGTATGCGATCCAGCATCGCCGCCACAATAGTAAAACAAACAATACAGCAGTTTTCATTCAAAGAAATCATATCGTAAAAAAAAACAAGATTAACAATTGGTTAAATTTAGTTTTTCATTTCCAACAATTAGTTATAGCAGTTATAGTTTGACAGTTGATAATTCCCATAAGTTTTATGTAATAAGTGTTCAATATAATATTAAAAATCGTCCAAGTTTTACTTCAAAATATCCCATTACACATAGAACAAATTAAAATCGCGGTACGAAGACTCAAATGCATTATTAAATAATCATATAAGTATTATAAGAAATCCCAAAAATTACGCGTACCTAATTCGTCTTTTGAACTAAAAAAATTAATTGATGACACGACAAATCATCTACTTGACCTCGAGGTACTCGGAGAGAAAACACAATATTGGGACCGTATGGTAATTTATTTAACAGCATCAAAATTACATTTTTAAATCAACAAGGAATGGGAAAGAATTTTAGCGGGTAAATTTGAAATTTAAGGAAATGGTTAGGTTTTTAGAAAATCATTGTAAATTTCTAGAAAAAAAAATATCGCTAATTCTTTTCATAATGAGAAAACAAATAATAAGTTTTTAAATAAGAACGTTCTCCTAAGAAATAGTAATATAAAATCGTATGCGGTAACAACAGTAAACAACAAAGCATGTGCATTGTGTAAGGGTGCAAACCCTTTGTACGCCTGCGACAGTTTCAAAAGGCTTTCACCACCTGAAAGAATAAGTTAAGGAACTAGGATTACGTTTTTGCTCTTTAGCTAGCGGCCATCAAAATAAAAATTATGGTTTAGGTCCATGTGAAAAATGTGGAAGAAACCACAATAATTTGCTTCACATTGAGAAAATGTCAACTGAGGCACAGGCACCAACGGGTTCCGCTAGCCCTCAGTTAACATGTAGTGCATTAACAACAACAAATTCAGCATCTTATGTACTCCTAGCAACCGCGAATGTATTGTTCTATGATAAGCAGGGAAGAGAGCATGAATGTCGAGTATTGTTAGACTCATATTCTCAGCCAAATATTATGACAGCAGCATTATGTAAAAAATTAGGGTTGGAACAACTAAAAACCAACATTACTTTGTCAGGAATAGATCAGGGCACTCGGCATGTTGCATGTAAGGCAACGACAAAATTAAAATCGAAAATTAATAACTTTTCGACCTCGTTAACCTGTATTATAATTGATAAAATTAGGGACAATTTACCTTCGCTACATATTAGATTAAACAATGTCCAAATTCCGGCTGGCATAGAACTTGTCGATCCTCAATTCAACTATTCAAGACCGGTAGACATACTTATTGGGGCAAGTTTGTTTTATCAATTAATGTCTGTGGGTCAAATTAAATTAACAATTATTAGATTTTTGCTACATTGATTGCTCAATAGATGACACTATTAAGGTGAAAAAACGTAAAATCCTTGAATTTTCAAAAACTATCTTTATTGCACAAAAACTTAAAATTATTCTTTAATGTTTATTAGAACTATTTCATAGTTCATGTTGTGTTGCAACTATAAACTAAGATTGAAAAAAAAAATGCAAATATGTCAAAATTTTAACCTATAGATGACACCCAGAAAATGAAAATTACCAATAGGTGACACCCATTTAGAACCAATAGATGACACAAGAAAATCATTTCTGCGAAGTTCTTAAAAAAATTAAAGTTCTATAACAGGTAATGATCTTTTAAAAACATAACTAAATCTTTCTCCTCTGATAATAATTTCTGGTTGGGGGACCTTGCCGATTACCTGGTCAATAGATACCGATTAAATGTCGCTTTCATTTTGTACAAACTCTTTTTGTGTGTGCATGGATTTAAAACCCATTACTTGAATAGATGTTTCTAATACTTTATCTTCAACCACCTATAAGTATATATATTTTGTTTGTTTACGTTTCCCCCCTAAGAATTCACATAACACAAAATCACCCTCCATCAGGTTTTTATAAGTTTCGTTCGTAGGACAAATCGTGGTAGTCTTCTTCAAAATCTTCATCCCATGGAGAAGA